TGACAGCCCTGGGGGCATCTGGTTGTTTTCAGCCTCACACGCTCCCCATCACCCACTGATTCACATGGCTGGTTTCGAAGCACTTGCTGCCACCCTGGGGGTTTATTATTTATTTCAGCAGGACTCTTAGTCAGAAGCAGCCCTGGTCAGTGTGGCTCGAGGGAAGAAGAGAATTTTGAGGCTCATGAACAGGAAAAGCCCCAGGGCAATTCCAGATTTCAGCAAAATAGGGCTCACGTGCTCAAAGTGATATTGGCAGGACTCTGTCTTCCCCGTCTTCCAACTCTGCACCCCTCTGTGTGGGCTTCATTCTCAGGTGGGCCCCTGGTGGGGTGGCAGGAGTGGCCCACAGCCTGAACTCCTAGGAACCTCTGGGGGAGCATCCCTGTACCAGAAGCAAGAATCCCAGTGGCCCTGTCACATGCCAACTTCTGGACTCATCTGTGTGGGTGGAGGGGAGCTGCTCACATGGACCAGGCCTGGTCTTGGTCCCATCTGAGTTGTGGAGGGAGTGGGAGCTGCTCGGATGGGGAGTTGGGCACAAGGGATCCCTTAGAAAAATCAAGAGGCAGCCTGTAATCCCAATACTTTGGGAGGCCAAGGCCTGTGGATCACCTGAGGTCAGGAGTTCAAAACCAGCCTGGCCAACATGGTGAAACCCCATCTCTACAAAAATACAAAAAAATTAGCTGGGTGTGGTGGCAGGCACCTGTAATCCCAGCTACTTGGGAGGTGGAAGCAGGAGAATCGCTTGGGAGAACCTGAGAGGCAGAGGTGGCAGTGAGCTGAGATGGCACCATTGCGTTCCAGCCTAGGTGACAGAGTGAGACTCTGTTTCAAGAAAAAAGAAAAATCAAGATGCCAGCACCCCAAGGGGACGTGGATGGACAGGCCGAAACCATGCCCACCATTCTCCAAGACTGTGTGTTGGTCGGAAGAGGAAACACCTAGCTTCCTGGCTCGTCCCCCTCTGCTCCTGCCTGGATGACTTCAGCCCAGTTCTCCAAAGAGCTGTGGGTGACTCACCCACATGTCTCCCACGTGTCGTCCAAGGTGTCAGCTTGGACCCGAGTGGACATGGAGCGGCATCAGCCTCTGCAGCCTTTTGTCTGCTCTTCCAGCCCAGTGGCCCTCCTGAGAAAGGAAAGCATGATTGTTCTCTGCGGAGCCCTGGGGGCTCCTAGTGATTGCCTTCCTTTAGAAGTGCACAGGAAGCAGCTGTTCAATAATCCATCATGACATTTGGCCAGACACCGACAGAGCTTGTCTCCCTGCTACCCCCTTGCCCAAATGCTGGGATGACCTTTGCCGTCTGTCACCAGGAAGGATGCCATGATTGGGAGTTTCTTGGATTGGTTCTTTCCAGGCCTAAGAGATGATCACATCATGGCCAGGTGCGGTGGCTCATGCTTGTAATCCCTGCACTTTGGGAGGCAGATGTGGGAGGATCACCTGAGGTCGGGAGTTTGAGACCAGCCAGACCAACATGGAGAAACCCCATCTCTACTAAAAATACAAAGTTACCCGGGCGTGGTGGCACATGCCTGTAATCCCAGCTAGTTGGGAGGCTGAGACAGGAGACTCGCTTGAACCCGGGAGGCAGAGGTTGCGGTGAGCCAAGATCGCGCCACTGCACTCCAGCCTGAGCAACAAGAGTGAAACTCCATCTCAAAAAAAAAAAACAGATGGTCACATGTAGAGCTGCCAGAGACCTCTCACCAAGCCTTCTCCTTGGCTTCTTTATAATGATATTGATTTTTTCCTCCATTTTTAGAATCCATCTCCTTGAGGGAGGAGACAGAAACCCCATCTCTCTTCATAGAACCATTTCAAAAAGGAATGGAGGGTTGGGACGAGGCCCAGCTGGCCTAAGAGAGGCCACCTGGCTGGGCTGGACACTGGCTGTGGCCTGGCCTGGTCACTGACCCTTGCCTGGGTCCTCAGGGTCAGGAGAGGAAGGGCCATGTCTTTTCAGATCACAGAACACTCTTTGGCCGCAGTCATGTGTCAGGATGAGAGGGGCGGGCTTTGAACTCTCATGATTCACTTTGATGTTACATTTTCTAAATACTACGGCAGCAAGTCCTCAGGCCATCAGAAGAAGGAAGGTAAGATTCCACACCTGTGGGTCACCCAACAGCTGCAGCCCTCTGACTGGATATGTATCTTGTGGCTTAGTTCCTGGTTATGTTCCGATTGTGGCGCCATCCAGGGGCCATGTGTCCACTGACCCACAGAGGCAGGGGCAGCTGGGGAAGTGCTGGGAGAAGAGGGGCAGGTAGGAATAGATCTCATCTCCCAGGCCATCCCCTGAGCGAGCCAAGCCAAAAGTGGCTGACTGAGGCTTGGATGGGCAGAATGTTCCATTTGTCATGTGTGAGGCTCACCCTTGGCCAAGGTGCGTTGCTTGTCCTGGTTTTCCAGATGTGGAGGCAGTGACGCATGTTGGTATGAAGTTCCTAGGCACCAGAGTATGTTCTAGCTTATTGAAGAACCTTTGATGGTTCCCTTCTGCAACAGAGAGGCTTGTGTGGTGTGATGGAAAGTCAGGCCCTGAACGTGAGCACTTGGCCACTCTCACTTTCAGGGGACACATGCAACAGACTCCTCCTGGTTCCACTCTTGCCCCTAGAGTGTATTATCTTCTCTTCCTGAAACACGGACCTCATGACACATGCAGCCTCCCGCCTAAGAGCTTCAAACACTCCCCAGAGCTCGTAGGATCAAGTTCATAGCTTGGCTTGCAAGAGCCCAAGTGACCCAGGCCCGTTGTCTGGCTTCCTCCCCGTCTACGATCTGATCCCCACAGCCCCCACACGCCACCCACTCAGCACAGTTTGTTCCCTTGGCCTGGAACACTGGCCCTTGGCACCTCTACACCCCTTCTCTTGACTCCTGGCCAGCTGCTGCTGAGGCTGTGGAGGTCCTAGACGGCTCAGCCCTCAGGAACTCCCCCCGACCTCTAGGAAGAGCTGAGGGCCCATCTGGGGTCCCCAGGCTTTTGTGCCCTCCTACCATTAGCCCTCATCACGGGGTGGCATTGTTTCTCCTGGTTTGATTGTGTCCCCACTAAGTGCCATGCTCCATGGAGGCTGGGACGGTTGTCTTGTTCACAGCTGTGTCCTCAGCGGACAGGACAGGGCTGGCCTGGTGCCCATTGGGTTGGTGGTTGGTGGACAGATGCTTGGGGGATGTGACCTGGGGCAGGGCATCTCCTGAGCCTTGGTCTCCCCCTCTGTACTGTGATCATGTTGTCATGTGCAGGGGGAGGGGAGGGGAGCAGGCAGCATGGGGAGGGGCCTGCAGAGGTGTCTGGCATGCGGGGGAGCTGTCATTGTCCACAGTCTGGAGCCCACATCCCAGCACCGACACCCAACTTTCAGCTGTAGCCAGAATTGGGTCTCAGCCAGAGTGGGCAGAGGTGGCCAGGAGATGAGACTGCAGGGAGCTGGGGGGCAGGGCCAGGAGGTGGTGAGGAGATCCCGTCCCTTGGTCCCCTCCCTCGGTCCCCTTTGACCCTGCATCCTGGCTTGTCTCCACTGGCTCCAACCAGGAGCAGCAGCCCAGCAGCCCCCTCCTTCCTGTGGAGCAGGCCGTGGTCCGTGCAGCCTGGGCTCTGTATGAGAATTGCCTGGGAGCTGTGAAATGTCCCACGCCCAGGCCACGCCCCAGGCTAGTGACATCCCACTCCCTGGCGTGGGGCCTGGGCATCAGCATTTCATAAAACTCCCAGGAGATTCCAGCGCATGGCCAGGTTTGAGAACCATCATTCCAGGTGGTTCTCAGTGACCTGGTTTTTCCTGGAGATGCTCGGCAGCCTGCGGGAGCCTGCCAGCCAGCGCACAGGCAGCGAGCGGCGCGATGGGAAATCTCCCCTTCCCTGCCTCCTCCCTCGAAAAAAATCCTCACCAGAAACGAGGAAGCACTTCTTAAAATGGTTTTTTTTTTTTTTTTTTGCAAGAGTAGCACATGCATATAGCAGGAACTCCAGGCAGCACAGATGGGTACACAGTGGAAGGAAAATCAGTCCTGGCCAGGCGCAGTGGCTCACGCCTGGCATCCCAGCAGTTTGGGAGCCCGAGGAGGGTGGGTCACTGGAGGTCAGAAGTTCAAGACTAGCCTGGGCAACATAGCGAAACCCTATCTCTACTAAAAAATAAAAATAAAAATAAATAATAATACAAAAAGCCAGTGGCGCACACCTGTCATCCCAGCTACTCGGGAGGCTGAAGCAGGAGAATCGCCTGAACCCAGGAGGTGAAGGTTGCAGTGAGCCAAGATGCCACCACTGCACTCCAGCCTGGGTGACAGAGCAAGACTCTGTCTCAAAAAAAAATCCTGTCACTAACAACAGCCAGTGTACCCAGGCTCTGGGACGGCCCTGCAGAGCTGTCACGTGTTGGTATATGGTCCCTTTGTCTCACGTCTGCCCTTCTCACCTTGCTTTCTTAGTCCTCCTCAGCCAGAATGTATTGATCTGCCTGGCTTTTCTTTTTGTTTTTGTTTTTTCCAAGACACAGACTCATTCTATTGCCCAGGCTGCAGTGCAGTGGTACAATCTCAGCTAACTGCAACCTCCGCCTCCCAGGTTCAAGTGATTCTCCTGCCTCAGCCTCCCAAGTAGCTGGGATTACAGGTGTGCACCACCATGCCTGGCTGATTTCAGTATTTTTAGTAGAGACAGGGTTTGACTATGTTGGCCAGGCTGGCCTCGAACCCTGACCTCAAGTGATCTGCCCACTGTGGCCTCCCAAAGTGCTGGGATTACAGGCATGAGCCACTGTGCCTGGCCTGCCTGGCTCTTCTTGACACCCACAGAGTGTTCCATTGTGGAGAGGGCCTGGTCCCTTCGGGTGGCCGGCTTTGTCTGTCACAGGCAGTGCTGTCAGAGGAGCCCAGAGTCTTTGGTCATGTGTGTGACTCTGGTGGGATGAATTTGTAGACCTGTAATTCCTGGGTCATCCAGATTGCTGATAGAGCACCATTTCTTGTCATTCCAGAAGTCGCCTGCACCGGTGCCCTTGACGTACGAGCTGCCCACACTGTATAGGACGGAGGACTATTTTCCTGTGGACGCCAGGGAGGCACAGCACCGCCCCCGCACCTGCCGTCTGCCTCTGTGAGCTTTGCACTCTTCCCCTCAGGAACGCTGAAAGTGGCACTGTGTACATGGAGTAGCTTGGGTCTTTTTTTAATTTATTTTTTGTGTTGCTGTTTTATTTTACATTTAAAAAAATTTTTTAACAATGTAGAGATGGGGTCTCACTATCTTATCCAGGCTGAGCTCAAGCCCTTGGGCTCAAGTGATCACCTGCCTTGGCCTCCCAAAGTGCTGGGATTACAGGCATGAGCCACATTGCCTGGCCAGCATTTTTCCGTTGAGGTAAACTCTTGCAATTTTTTTTTTCATGAGACACCTGTCACCGAGGCTAGAGTATAGTGGTATGGTCACGGCTCCCTGAAGCCTCAAACTCCTGGGCTGAAATGATCCTCCTGCCTCAGCCTCCCAAATAGCTGGGACCACAGAAGTGTACCACCATGCCCGGCTGCTTTTCAAATTCATTTTATTTGTTGTAGAGACAGCGTCTCCCTATGTTATTCAGGCTGGTCTTAAACTTTTGGCTTCAGGGGATGCTCCTATTTTGGCCTCCTAAAACATTATGTTGGCACAAACTTTAATCGAAGTATAATTTACATTACAGAATGGGTTGCCTAAGTGGTTCTCTAAATTGTTCACAAACTGAATGCATCTATTTAAGCCTTAGCAGACTGAGAAACCAATCAACCAACATTATCAGCACTGAGCAGCCCCCTCAGCCCCCTTCTGATCCATGCCTGTGCCCGTGACCACCCCCAGCCCAGGCTGACAGCATCCTGACATCTAACCATGTGGGCTGGAGTTCTGGTTTCTTTGCTTTGTATAAACAGGGGACGAACGGGATGTGTACCTACAGTGTGTCATCTCTCGTCTCTGGCTTCACTTGCTTGATTCTACCTGTGGGAGGTGTCCTGGTTGCTGTGTCCCTATAGATCATTCATTCTCATGGCTGTGTTATATTGGCTGGGACTGTTTTTAACGAAGGGAGCTTGGACACTGTGCATGCCCCAGTGTGCTTAGGGAGGGCAGGCATCGGATGGAAAGTTGGCCGGGCGCTGTGGTTCATGCCTGTAATCCCAGCTCTTTGGGAGGCCAAGGTGGGCAGATCACTTGAGATCAGGAATGCCAGACCAGCCTGGCCAACATAGCGAAACCTCATCTCTGCTGAAAATACAAAAATCAGCCAGGCTCCGTAGCGCACACCAGTAATCGCAGCTACTCGGGAGGCTGAAGCATGAGCATTGCTTGAACCTAGGAGGTGGAGGTTGAGGCAAGCCAAGATCGTGCCACTGCACTCCGGCCTGGGCAACAGAGCAAGACCTTGTCTCAAAAAAAAAAAAAAAAAAAAAAGGCCGGGCGCGGTGGCTCAAGCCTGTAATCCCAGCACTTTGGGAGGCCGAGGTGGGTGGATCACGAGGTCAAGAGATCGAGACCATCCTGGTCAACATGGTGAAACCCCGTCTCTACTAAAAATACAAAAAATTAGCTGGGCATGGTGGCGCGTGCCTGTAATCCCAGCTACTCAGGAGGCTGAGGCAGGAGAATTGCCTGAACCCAGGAGACGGAGGTTGCAGTGAGCCGAGATCGCGCCATTGCACTCCAGCCTGGGTAACAAGAGCAAAACTCCGTCTCAAAAAAAAAAAAAAAAAAAAAAAAAGGAGAAAGTTCATATTAATTTTTAAGACAAGCAGTTGAGGACATGCGTTTCCAGAAGGATGAGTGTCTGCTGATTGTTGGGCACTCCCAGACTTCTTTCTTTTCCCAGCACTTGAAGCAGAGGCCAGGGGGAGTTGGAAGGAAATGCCATGTGATGAAGCCACAGCAACATGAGTGTCCTAAAGCAGAGACCCACAGGCCCCGCACTAGGAGCATAGCCCTGAGGTTAGCCCACTTGGTGGCACTTTCCACTCCCATGCCTCTTGGCTGTGTGGGCTGGGCTTTTCCCTTGCCCTCTCTGAGCCCAGCCTCCCCTGCAGTAAGTCGTGAGGACGTCTCTGGCCTGATGGGTTGAGGTGAGGGTGACACGAGGTGAGATTTGTGTGTGCTGAACACAGGGCCTGTGAGGGGCTCTCAGTAGTGAGGCTGATGTTGCAGGGACCAGGCTGTGACGGGGAGAGGGTTGACTGCTGAATTTCTCAGCTGACCAGCAGCATCCGAGGGCCTGAAGAGCGAGTGACTCAGGACTGTCCTTACATGTCAGAGTTAGAAGTCACAGGAGAGTGGGGGCTGTTATCTCTGGGTTTCCCTGTCCTGTTAGGAGGGGCGAGGTTGCATAGGGAAATCTATGGGCAAACAGTGACAAGCGAACTAGAAGTAGCCATTGCAAATTTCCTAGGATTTGCACTGCCAAACAATGATTAAGGGACACTTGGAGATACCTGGGGGGAAAGAAGGCTGGGACACTGCGCCCTGGCACAAATCCCCAACCTCAGTCCTCTGAGCGGCTCCACTGTCCTTGTGCCAGGTGACTTCAGATATGTCCTCATTAAAGCGAGTGCCTGACGTTTCCATTGTCAAGTCAATGATGGCCTCAATTGCTGCACATTGATGGCCTCTAACCCCTTGGCAAGGGTAACTACAGCCTAGGAAAGGGTGATCTGATCTTTGTCTTTTTAAAATAGAGATGGGGTCTCGCTATATTGTCCAGGCTGGTCTCAACCTCCTGGGCTCAAGCGATCCTCCTACCTTGGCCACCCAAAGTATTGGGATTACAGTGGTGAGCCACAGAGGCCTGCCCGTCTTTTTCTTTTGTGGCCGATATTGGACAGTTACACCAGTAGAAAGGTCACTGTATATTTTTTCCCAAGAGAAAGGCTCTTCAGTCAATCACTTTTCCAGCAGATATGAACTGCATGCTCACCAAAGCAAGAGGTTTCAAGACAGCAGCCCATGGGGTTGTATCTGATTGGCAGAAATGCGTGGTTTGCCCTGAATTGTTTTAAGAGGTTTTCATGTTGTGACAATTGGGTGACCTTCTGGAAAAAAATAGAGCTCCATACCTCACTCATCACACCTGGAACAATTCCAGAATTGCACATTGATTAGGAGTTTAATGTATAAAATGGGCCGGGCGCGGTGGCTCAAGCCTGTAATCCCAGCACTTTGGGAGGCCGAGGCGGGTGGATCATGAGGTCAAGAGATCGAGACCATCCTGGTCAACATGGTGAAACCCCGTCTCTACTAAAAATACAAAAAAAAATTAGCTGGGCATGGTGCTGCGTGCCTGTAATCCCAGCTACTCAGGAGGCTGAGGCAGGAGAATTGCCTGAACCCAGGAGGCGGAGGCTGCGGTAAGCCGAGATCACGCCATTGCACTCCAGCCTGGGTAACATGAGTGAAACTCCGTCTCAAAAAAATAAATAAATAAAATAAAATAAAATAAAAATAAAAATAATGTATAAAATGAATCTATTGGCTGGGTGCCATGGCTCACACCTGAATCCTTCGACTTTGGGAGGCCAAGGCAGGTGGATTGCTTGAACTCAGGAGTTCAAGACCAGCATGGGCAACATGGCAAGACCCCCTTCTCTGCAAAAAATGCAAACATTAGCCAAGCATGTTGGTGTTTGCCTGTAGTACCAGGTACTTTCGGGGAGGTGGGAGGATTGCTTGAGCCAGGGAAGTTGAGGCTGCAGTGAGCTGAGATTGTGCCACTGCACTCCAGCCTGGGTGACAAAGTGATACCCTGTCTTAAAGAGTAAAATAGGGTCTGGCGAGGTGGCTCCTGCCTGTAATCCCAGCACTTTGGGAGGCCAAGGCGGGTGGGTCACCTGAGGTGAGGAGTTTGAGACCAGCCTGGCCAACATGGTGAAACCCCATATTTATTAAAAAAAAAAAAAAAAAAAAAAAAAAAAAAAAAAGGTAAAATAGGCTGGATGTGGTGGCTCATGCCTATAATCTCAGCACTTCGGGAGACTGAGGCAGGTGGAACACCTGAGGTTGGGAGTTCAAAACCAGTCTGACCAACACGTAAAAAGCCCGTCTCTAGTAAAAATACAAAATTAGCTGTGCGCGGTGGCACATGCCTGTAATCCCAGCTACTTGGGAGGCTGAGGCAGGAGAATTGCTTGAACCCAGGAGGTGGAGATTGCAATGAGCTGAGATCACACCATTACAATCCAGCCTGGGCCACAAGAGGGAAACTCTGTCTCAAAAAAAGGGGGGGGGGAAAAAAAAAAAGGAAAATAAAACAAATCTATTGAAGAAATAGGTAAAAACACTGGAGAATTGTACAAAATCAAGAGATCATAAGAGAAATCAATTTGATTATATATATATAAATTTTAAACCTCTGCATGGCAAAACCAACAGAAAACAAACAAACAAAAAATGCCAAAACAACAAAATCCTAAGCAAATTGAAAAGGCAGATGACAAATTGGGAAAATATATTTGCATCTCATGCTACAAAGGGATAATCTCCCTAGGAAGTGGCAGTAGCAAAATGGGCAAAGGGTATGAACAGGAGTTTCATAGAAAATGCAAAACACGAAAAGATACTCATCCTCAATGTATGCCAGTAAGTATAGAAAAATATTGACGTTACCCTGAGATTTTTCACATTTCAGGCTGGCAAAAGTTTAAAATTTTTGATGACATTGGTTTTTTTTTTTGTTTTGTTTTGTTTTTTTGGTTTTTTTGAGACAGAGTCTGCTTTGTTGCCCAGGCTGGAGTGCAGTGGTGCGATCTTGGCTCATTGCAACTTCCGCCTCCTGGGCTCAAGCGATCCTCGCACCTCAGGCATCTGAGTAGCCGGGGTTACATGTGCACACTGCCACACCCAGCTAATTTTTGTGTTTTTAGTAGAGATGGGGTTTTGCCATGTTGGCCAGGCTGGTCTCAAACTCATGGCCTCAAGTGATCTGCCTGCTTCTGCCTCCTAAAGCGCTGGGATTATAGGCATAAGCCACTGTGCCTGGTCTTGTGGGTGACATTTTGAAGAAAAATATTCTTGTGCATTGACGGTGGGACACCATTCTCATGGGGGGAAATTGGCATACCTATCAAAATTAGAAATGGTCCTAACTTACTCGGTAGGCTGAGGCAGGAGGATCACTTGAGCCCAGGAGGTTGAGGCTGCAGTGAGCTGTGATCATGCCACTGCACTCCAGCCTGGGTGACAAAACCGCATCTCTTTTAAATAA